GCGGAATAACTGGATCTCAGACGGCACCGCTTTCCTCCCCTAGTCGGAGCAGTCCTCACAGTCAAGGCAGTGAAACCGGAGAACGCTTCTCTAGGAAAGTGTTTGTCGGTGGCCTGCCACCGGACATCGACGAGGGTGAGCATCTCCTCTTATTCTTCTCTCGCTTTCCTATATCTTTTTCTTTTCCTTTTTTTTTTTTTTTTTTTTGACTCGATTATTATATTTCGAATATTTCTCTACGTTTATTATTAGTTTTCTTTTTAACTAATTATTATTTTTCTCTGCAATTTCAGAGGAGATCAAAGCGAGTTTCCGCCGTTTCGGATCGTTGGTGGTCGATTGGCCTCACAAAGCTGAAAGTAAATCTTACTTCCCACCGAAGGGCTACGCTTTCTTGCTTTTCCAGGTAATCTCGTCGTTTTCTACTCGATCCTTGGAAAATGGATTAATCTAATTTTTCAATCTGATTTAAACGGGGCAGGACGAAGCGTCCGTGCAACAGTTGATCGACGCCTGCATCCAAGACGAAGAGAAACTGTATCTGTGCGTCAGTTCGCCAACAACGAAAGACAAACCGGTTCAAATACGGCCGTGGCGATTGAGCGACGCGGATTTCGTGCTGGACGCCTCGATGCCTTTGGATCCACGGAAAACGGTATTCGTCGGTGGTGTTCCCAGACCGTTGAAAGCTGTCGAGCTGGCGATGATCATGGACCGACTTTACGGGGGCGTGTGCTACGCCGGTATCGACACCGATCCCGAGTTGAAGTATCCGAAGGGAGCTGGTAGGGTCGCTTTCAGCAATCAGCAAAGCTATATAGCTGCCATATCGGCCAGATTCGTTCAGTTACAGCACGGCGACATAGACAAAAGAGTAAGTCAAATGAGGATAGGATAGAATAGGATGTCTCTCTCGTACGAATTTCATTTCACTCCCCCCCTTCTTCCTTTTCTTTTCCCCCCTCTTCTTCTTCCAGGTCGAGGTCAAACCGTACGTTCTGGACGATCAAATGTGCGACGAGTGTCAGGGACAACGTTGCGGAGGCAAGTTCGCGCCGTTCTTTTGCGCGAATGTTACCTGCCTACAGGTATGAATATTTCCTTTCATATAAGCATTATTATTATTATTCCATCGATGTCGAATCGATGGATCAAAAAAAAAAAAAAAAAAAAAAAAAGAAAAATCGTGAAATTTAATTTGAAATTTGTTGTTATCATTTCTTTTTCCCCCCTTTTTTCGTTTGTTTGCAGTACTATTGCGAGCACTGTTGGGCGACGATTCATTCACGGCCGGGTCGAGAATTTCATAAGCCGTTGGTGAAAGAGGGTGCAGATCGACCTCGAACCGTGCCGTACCGCTGGTGTTAACCCCAGCTGCGTTGTCCCTAATTATCTCGCAACCCTAGCTAATTAACTACCACTTCTACGTACCAACTCCTCCTCCTCCTCCTCCTCCTCCGCCTGCTCCTCCTCCCCCTACGAGAACCCCTCCTACCGGCCGCTGTCACCCACCCCGCCATTCATTCGAGAACCCCCCCTGGCCCGTCCGACACCTCCGTCTCACCCCCATGCTCGCATACCTACCTGCCTTCGGGAGCACAGCCCGAAACCGTTATTACCGCTACTTACCCACTGATCGTCGGTACTATCGCTATTCTATTACTATCGCTATTATCGCTCTATTATTACCATTATTACCACGCTCTATTATCGAAACGAATCACTATTATTATTCCACTATGAGTTTATTTTTACTCTCCAATCCACTATTGCTACTTGGACGTGTTTACTCGGCGTGCACTAACCCGGTCGCCTTCGCCATCGCCACCACGGCCGAGACCGTCATCGTCGTAA